GGTTGAAGGGCAAGAGCCGGGGGGGGGGGGGGGAGGGGGCAGATTGGTGGGGGTAACTCCATTTTCCTAAAGTGGATAAAACAGAAATAAAGTCATGTAAACTTAAAAATAAATGTAAAATTAAAGAGGAATAAATACACTGAATACTATCATTGCTTTAATTCGGAAAACTGTATGCAATCAATACAATACTTTTTATAGTATTATAGGGAACAGCTTACAAGGAACACCCCGGTCAGGTGATTTTTTTTCCCCCCAACTTTGTCCCTTTGATATTTCCTTTCACCTGCTGTGCTGAATACACAACAGGAAATGAGAGGTTGTCACCAGAACAAGTGTCTTCATTGGAAGATTCCCCCACTATTAGTGATCAGATGACAACTCAAAAATATTCCCTCACTTTCAGCCCCCAAGATAATGGTCAGTAGGATAAATTGAGTGTCTCTCCCTAGTATGGAAGTAGCCAGCACTGAAACCCTGACAAAGTTTGTGACCAACATACAAAAAAATATATATACATACTGGTCATGTCTTGTATCAGGAACACTTCTGTCCATGCGCAATTTGTCACTTTCCAGTTGATTAAATTTATTACGTGCATAAGCATCTTGACCAGGTCGCACTACAGTGACTCCAACATAAGCATCTTGGTCGAAGTCCTGCCACCGTACCTTACCTAAAAATAAAAAATAAATCAATCATTCAATTGTTTGGTTTAACAAAACAAGCGAAAAAGAACATTATGGACGTGCAAATAAAATTCAGATTCTATTGCAAGCTCTAGTGGTGGATTAACTGAGGAATAATAAACCAATTAAACCTTCAGTTAAAATTGTCTAAACACATTCCTGGTGCATTAAAATAAAAAAGGTGTTCAATGTCTTACAGTTAGTTTTCTTTCTAAGCAGCTACAGCCCGAGTAGAAAAGCCTGACCCCAGCCAGTCCTGCTGCCAAGCAGGACCCTTACTCTCTATTGGTAAACAGAAATCCTCCTGCAGAGGCCAATATGCACCCTGCCGAGTCAAAGTCAGAGCACTCCACAACCAGCAGGGAGCATGAACTTTGCTGATTGCAGAGCTATAGGTCTGATTCAGCCGGGGGTCTGTTGGATCTCTGCAGAGAGGCCACTGCTCCCCCACAAAGAGGATCCCACTGACTTTTTTTACTCAGGCTGTACCTGTTTTACAAAAAAGTAATTGTAAAAGAGTGAACACCTTTGGTTCTGAAAGCTCAGTATATTGCGAGGTACAGCTCCTGGTATACTGAGACCGCCGCAGCCGGGACGGATCCCGACAATGCTGTCGAGATCCGCCTAGCTGCGTAAGTGACAGCTGGCTCTGCCTATCCAGAGGCACAACCAGCTGTACCTGCCCCCTCCCGTTCCTCCAGTTAGCTAGGGTTGCCACCTGTCCAGGATTCACCCGGACAGTTCGGGTTTTGAATGCTGTGTCCAGGTTTCATGGCAGCTGAGACTTGGGACACATGATGTCAGACAGACAGGGGCAACCAAAATTAAGATAGGGGCTATCGGCCCCCCAGTAAAAATAGTCTCAACTTTCATATTTACACATGAATGAGTGACGTTATTTACATAAGAATAAGCCACGACTCATTCTCCCCAAAAAATGTCCGTGCGTCGCTAGAGTGTTCGGGTTTCGCTGGAAGAAAAGGTGGCAACCCTACAGTTAGCGCTGGAGGATCAGAGCGGGGGGGGATCCCTGCGGGGAGCCACTGTCTGCAGGGAGATGATCGAGAAGTGAGCGAGCGACTGTATGTGTTCACTCACTTCCCGATCTATTGAGCTGACGTGTGACAGTTTCATTATCACACGTTGGCTCAAAATATGAGGATGAGTGATTTTCACTCAACTCATAGTTCTCCTTTAAGTTTCAATTAGTCAATTAGTCTCCAAGTATAAAGAGTTCTCAATATGTAATTTTGTTCTGCAAACTTAAAATCAACCCCTTCCTACACACAAATTACTATAAACGCAGGTATTTTGCCTCCAGACATTTCAGGTAAGTACACCTTAAGTTTTTGTAGGCAGTTGCTATGTGGTCTCTCTGTCCTTACTATGTTCTGGCTGCTTCTATTTTCTATTAAATAAATGGAAAAGGCCCAAACATAAGTTTGCACACATTCTGGTGCCTTGAGAATTACAAATTCCTTTATCTGATATCATAAGGCAATGTAGCAGCCCATCCCAACCCTGTCATACAAAAAGTAAATTATTAAAGTTTTGAAAACGGACGCTTACATTTAATCTTAGGGCTCAGTCACACTAGATGCAGTGCGTTCCGCCCGATTTTTGCAGGAACGCACTGCCTCACTTTTTAGTGGGGTAGGAGGGGGCGTGGTGGGCCATTCAAGTGAATGGCGCCGTAGCCACGCCCTCCGGCCGCAATGCGATCCGTCGCACGCCATCCGAACCTGTGCGGTGCAATCAAAATGCTACAAGCATTTGAATGGCCCGCCACGCCCCCTCCTGCCCCACTAAAAAGCGAGCCGGCCGCAATGCGAGGCAGTGCGTTCCGGCCAAAATCGGGCCGGAATGCACTGCATCTAGTGTGACTGAGCCCTTTAACCCAAAATAAAGATCCTGTATGCTTCTCATCAGAAGAGATGTAAAAACAATTCACACATCATGTGCCAGTTTAATTATTTTTTCTATTACCCAAAAGCTCAGATAACTCACATCAGAGGCATAAACACCAACAAAAGGTCTAGCCGCGTTAGTTATTTTCTTTGTTTTAATGCCATATTAATGATGCCTCAGCCTACCAGCATCCCTCTTCTTTGTACTCCCAACAATCATGAACCTGACAGACAAAGCAATTTAAAAGATAGATGACATACCTAGAACTGCCATTGCAGAATTGCATTATCGGTTTATCTTTGTATGTAACTGATGAGAAAATGTAAGATGCTGAATACAAAAACACTGGTACAAACCACTTCTAAATATCCCTTTAGACCTCTAAAGGGGGGCTTATTAGTTGCAATCATGCACTATCAGTTAAAACAACGCACAGATCCCCTGCTGGTCTGAGCAATACAGAACGGATGGATGTCACCGTAACCGAACTTACCAGGCCTATAGGGAGTTGGATGTAAAGGAACATGCGTCCATTTACATTAGATTATCCTCAAACCATCAATATTAGGTCTGCAAAAACCTGGAACTCAGTTACCTTTTTTTCTTTACAGACCAAGGCAGTCAGGATAATCAGATGTAAATGGACCTACAGACGTCTGTTTAGATCTGGCTGTCCATAAACTAAAGGTGCCCACACACCCTGCGATAATGGTACGGTAATTGCGGGAAATCCCACAATCGTACGATTATCGCAAGGTGTGGAAGGCGTGCGACCGTTTCTACTGTACGGTCGCACGACTTTTATCTTAGGAACAGGTTCGAAACCCCGCCGAGAATCGTACGATGTTCGGCGGGTGTGTGGCATGTTCGTAAGATAAATGCCGCAAGGGCTGGTTTGCGCAAGTGCACACTGCCCGCTCAGCGTTGCGGTTACCGGAAAGCCCGCCCCTCAGCGTGGCGGGCTTGCGATTATCGCAAGTATGATCTGCCTGTCCAAGATAGGCAGATCGTATGTTTTTTTAATTACCGTACAACCATCGCAAGACAAATGTCTTGCAATGGTTGTAAGGTCTGTGGCCAGCATAACATTGGGCTTCCGATCAGATCCACCTGAAAAACTGATTGGCGGACCTGATCGGACTACCTATCTCAAAGGGGGCCTTAAACACGTTTTGAGGTTTAGATATACTTGCGTTGGATACAACGGGGAATGATTAAAACGTGTCAGATTATTGTTTATCCCTCTAGGTTAAGTTAGGGAGATTTCTATTCACTATTCAACAAGGATAAAGAAGACATCTCTACAAAGTGAAAGAATACCCCTTAGTCTCCAGAACAGGTGTTTCCATGGAAAGCACAGACAGCAATACAAGTCTGATATATGTGCAACCCTTCACCACATCACATTTGGCTTTAGATACACTAAAAATCCTTCGTCGAATCACATCAGAGTATTTACCATCTTCACCAAAAACATGCCACTGTCTAAGAAAAATATAGAATTTAACAAAACAAGCATTATTGATGGCCTACAAACTCCCCCTTATTGGGCTGGAGTCTACAGTATACAGCAACTAATCTACATAGACCACGAAAGGAGCACTGCTTATAGACCTTTAAAATCATGAAAATCCCCCCCAGAAAAATATTTGATTCCACAAGACACACATACCCTTTAAAAAGAACCCCTCGGTGCAACCCATGTTAGGAATTGACCCATCAAAACTCATGGAGGGGAATTGATCAAAACTGGAGCAGACAAAATCTGGAGCAGCTGTGCATGGCAACCAATCAGATTCCATGCACAACCCCTCTAGATTTTGTCTGCTCCAGTTTTGATCAATTCCCTTCATAATGTCTCTAATATACAACTACAAGTGTGGTTGTTTGGAATGTGGGCCTTGCCCTCATTCAAGGACACCAGAACCACGAGGTCAAAAACAAAGCAAAGAAATCAATATGCCAGCTATAATTATGGAGTATATATAGTGTATATGTAAACCTGTAGATGGACTACACAAAAAAAGTACACAAAAAGTACAGACTTTTCAGAACAAAATTGACAAACAGTTCACAAAAGTCCTTGGTCTAAACCAACAGCTGTAAGCACACTTGTTAGATAATCCAAAAAAAATATGGGTGGAATAGATCAAAACTGGAGCAGACAAGAACTGGAGCAGATGTGCATGGCAACCAATCAGCTTCTCTCTTCCGTTTGTTCAGTTAAGATTTGAAAATTAAAGAATGGTTACCATGCACAGCTGCTCCAGTTTTTTATCAATTCCCCCCTATGTGTTTTCAGATCTCACACAGCATGCATGCTATAGAAAATTTACAATTTTAAGATAGGATTCCCACTACTGGACAGCAGAGTTCAAAGATATACAAAAAGTCAATGATGTCAATTGTATATATCCAAATGTATATGTACATACGGCAATATATATTTGGAAAATCTTCTAGAATCTTAATTCGATATCCTCATCAGGACTTAAACCTAGTCCTCCTTGTTATCATACATTTGTATATTCATAGACATCCCCATTCACGCATCCCATGTTGGCCCCGCCCCAGATACCATGGAGACCAGGACGCAATAAGTCAGGATCTACACAACCCATTGTACACCACAGGGAGATCCCAGTACATAGCAGGAACATGTATGACAACACAGAACTCACTGAAAACAAATACATATATTGTTCCCCGCCAGGTTTCTTACTATGCAATTAAGGGGAGATTCAAAGCAGCAAGTAATACGATGACTGGTTAGATGAAGTGAACACAGCTTCATGTGCTAGCTAAAATCCTGCTTTTCCCTTTTCTTTCCTGGCAAATGATTTTAAGTGAACACAGCTTCACTTTATTTGCCATCACTCAATTTGAAAAAGAACATACACCGATTAGCCATAACATTATGACCACCTGCCTAATATAGAGTAGGTCGCCCATTTGCCACCAAAACAGCCCTGATCGATCGAGGTATGGACTCCACTAGACCTCTGAAGCTATGCTGTGCTCTCTTGCACCAAGCCATCAGTAGCAGATCCTTTAATTCCTGTAAGTGGCGAGGTGGGGC